GACAACATGAGACTTGAAAAGAAACGATTCAAATTTCCTAATTTAGAGCTGTCATGAGAGTATGCATAGAAAATCCAAAAGGATTTACAGATAAAACATTAAACTTAATAAGTTAACAACATGGGTGCTGGAAACAAGGACAAAATATTTTAACATATGTCTATGTATTAGCAAAAATCACACGAACACACACACATGCACACATACTCTCATACAAAGAGTGTTGAAGGGCCCTTGTATTTTAAGACTGAAAGCCTGTTTCTGAAAGTCATTCATCCAGAGGTCACAGTTAAACTCATTAGCTGTACTGATGGAGAGGGAAGAAAATGATGTTTTCAAGTCATTTCCTACCCTGCTCAAATCCTAAAGTCCATATTGGCCTAAAATTTCCAGGTAGGAGAAGTACTTCCAATATCTGTGGCTTGTGTGCTCTGCCTTCTCTTCCTAAGTCCTATAAAAAAATATATTCAAATCTCCTCTCCTCCCGCTTCCTGCTGCTTTACTTAAAATGAGTTTGGATTGTTTTTCTAGAATGAGGTTTCTAGAAAACTGTGGCATAAGTAAAAGAATAAATTAATGTAAACATAAATCAAAAAATATAACTGAATTGATACAGCACAGATATCAAAGTCCAAGAGCAAGAAAAGCCCTCTGGAGTCTTTTGCTTAAACACTTACCAACGCACCTGCGCGAGTGCCCCTTACCCATCCCGCCTCTCACTCATTCTCACTGAGAAATGAGGAACAGCTTCCTTATGATGAATGTTTATACGTGAACTGTCGTTATGGGATGGGCACAAGTCGTTTTCTCCAGAGAAGTTCAGGGCAGAGGCAAGGAGAACATGATAATGTTTGCTGTGTGAGAATATTTTAGTAAGAGGAAAATGCAGAATATCAACTAAAGAAACAAAAAGAAGGAAGGTGATTTGGAGAGAAAAAAAAAAGACCATTAATACGGCAGTTATATTAACTCAGATTATTTTTACTAAGTAAATACATGTGCAAGTAAAGAGATCTTGCCAGGAATCCACCTACAGCAAGCCCTACTCTCAAGGAATTAACAGTAGAAGGAAAAGGAAAACAAAAATGACTGCAGTGTTGCAGGTACCCTGTAAAATGGATCTCAGCACGACAACAGCCAAGGGATGATTACTTCCACTGTAGCACTAAGGAGGGCTTCCTGGAGGAAGAAGCATGTCAGCTGGGTCTCGTGGTTAGAAAAGCATCCAGGTAGAGGCAGAGAAACTAGGTTGAAAATGCTCAGCATCTCTGCAAATACAATTATCTCAGCATAAGTATAGTTAGCTGACTTTGACAAATGATATTTCAGCAGAAGCCAGCCAAAAAAAAAAAAAGTTTTAAAATAAGAAGCCAAAGGGATATCACCATTAAGCTGTGTACATCATTTCATTTATTCCAAGGTACATTCTTTTTCACATCTCACATCTATGAAATCCGAGTGGATCCTATTTATATCGTCTGATAATAAATGTACAATTTTAAATTATTTTTCTGGCAGTGTATGAAGTACGATTTATCTTGCAACCTATGGGAGCTCTGATTTGATCAAATCTGATGATTATTTGATGAAACATGATGAGACTGACTTCTGGGCTGATAACTTGAGCCTCTGGGCTTCTGGGTACTTATTCCAAACGGAAAAAGAGACACGGTGAGGGCTCATGAGATATTCTGATATGGCCTGTTAAGAACACAAGCAAAAAAATTGCTCTACGTAAGAGATATCTGTACACTCATATTCATAGCAGCATTATTCACAGTACCCAAAGGGCGGAATCAATGCAAGTGTTCATGAACCAATGAATGGTTGAAAAAATGTGTTACGCAGCCTCAAAAGTAAAGAAATTTAATGCATGCTACAACATGGGTGAATTATGAGGACTTACATGCTAAGTGAAAAAGTGAGTCTCAAAAATGATGACTCCACTTGTACAAGGTACCTAGGGTAGTCAAATTCATAGAGACAGAAAGTAAAATGGGGGGTGCCAGGGCCTGGGAGGCTAGGAATGGGGAGGTGTGGTTTAGTGGGTATCAAGTTTTAGTTTTTCAAAATGGAAAGAGATCTAGAGATCGGTTGTACAAAAATGTGGATGTACTCAATCCTACCAAACAGCACATTTAAAAATGGCAAATGCAGTCAGTTTTATGTCATGGATATTTTACCACAATTAAAAAAAAATAGATTTACATAAAGACGGGAGTTGGGAAGGAAGGGGAAAAGGTCTGGTGGAAATATTGAGGCTAAACTGGTGTACTAAATAAAATGGAGGAAAAGAGTGAGACGATGGACAGAAAAGACACATTAAAGATGAAAACTTACCAGCGCCTAAAATGCCATAATGCGAGACAGATCAAAAGGATCAAGGACGGCACCACTATCGCCAAAGTTATCAGGACGATGGAGGTGGGACGTCCTGGCAATTGGGAGAGGACACAGGGATGTCACTTCAAGATGCATTATTAATTCTCCTGGCCTTCCTTTGCCCACCTGAGTGTCAGCAACACATTCACCTGCTTCTGATGTGTGGGCATCTCCAATTCCCTCTTTCAGATGCCCAGACATCATATATTCACAGCCATCCTTTGTCTCTCCCCCTTGCCCTGCTCACCCAGTCCACAGGTCCTTCACACCTACCTCTTCTGTACCTTAGATCATCTATTTTTATCTCTCTTGGGACTGAAGTCCCAGAAATAAATCTCAATTTCTCTCCTTCTCTCATCCATCAACTCCCTCCCCTCCCCCAGTCCTCCCTCTATACTGGAGGACCAGCTCCTCCCATCCCCAGCTGGGCCCCCGTTCTTTCTCACCCCAGTACAGGACGATGTCCTGGTCTCCGAGACTGCTGTGTCTCACCCGGCAGCTCAGGCCGGCCGCCTCCCCGGCCGCCACATCCAGGGTCACTCGGAGGTACCACGTCCCGTCAGCCTGGGGCAGGACGTCACCTCGCTGAGTGCCTGGCTGCTCCTGCTCACCCCGCATCCACATCGCCCACACGGGTTTTGGATGGAAGCCAGAGACATGGCACACCAGCAGCAGACGGCCGGGCCCGGGAGTGGGGCCACTGGACAGCCAGGCCTCTGGCTTCACTGGGGCAGGAAGAGGCAGGGAGAGTGTCAGATTATGACTCTAGAGTATAAGGACTGGGAAACCCATAAGTTTGGACAGCAACCTCTTCTACTCCTTTGGGAACCAAATAATCTGTTGATTAAGCCTTAATTACCTCCTACTTAATTACCTCCTACTCTTTTTTTTTCCAGAAGAAATTTTTAATATTTGGAACCTTTGGTATCAGGAAGCTGAAAAACCAAAAAAAAAAAAAAAAAACAACAAGAATTTTTTTAAATTACACTAGAATAAAAGTCTGTAAGGACATGTAATGGAACTATAATTTTAAGGAGAAAAAGAAATGACCTAAAATATCTGGCAGTTCTTTTCTCCTGTGTGTACCATACAATCTGGTCTCTTTGTATGTCTCAAAAATGTTTTTCGCTGTTGTTGAAAACTGCACATTTAAAATAAAATAAAGTGGCAACCCTGGAAAAAAAATATCTGATAGTTAAAAAGGAACTTGTTCATGTATATTTAGAAATAGATGATGAAGTATCAAATTAGAGCATCAAGATTGTATAGTTACCTCCTACTCTTGAATTTAAAGAAGGCTGTGTGAAGTGAGAGGGAAAAGTGTTGAGGAGAGGACAGGACTAACCTTGCCTCTGCAGTTCCGCCTTCCCTGCATCGAGGACACCGAAGAGATACTGAGGGCAGGTTTCCAAAAGAAGCTTCGCAACAGTGTCGCAAATACCTTGGTACTGAGAGATGAGCGTGCAGAACTGCTGCGCCCGGCTGCCGCCCTCTGGGGCAGGTGCACAGGAGTCATTCTTGATGCTCAGGAAATCCAGTCCTCCTAAAGCGCCTCTCAAGAAGCTAACTGTGGGCTTCCCAGGATGCAGCTCACAGCCTGCTATGCCCTGGATCAGAAAGGGATCTGAATAGAAGGAGAACAAAGGAAAAGTTATTTTAAAGCAAACAAGAAAGAAAGGGATCCGAAAAGGACGTAGGACCTTGGATTTGGCTCAGCAGAAAGGTCTGAGGTGTGAAATGATGACCCCAAAACCAGTTGCAGTATTCAGCGACTTCTCAGAAAGAAGAGGCCTGAGGAAAGGTATGTGTGTCAAACGTGGTGGAGATGGGCTGCTGTAAGGATGGAGGGCCGGCAGGAGGGGAGAATTGCATCCACACGTGTGATGGAGTCAGTACAGCATCCCACGGTGACAGGGAGAGTTACACTGAGAGAAGGGATCAGGCAGGAGGTGCTTGAGGAGATGGACTGGAGGAGGCAGAAGTCATACTTCAGTTTACTCAGGCACAGGATAGGAGAGAAGTGAGGGCTTCTTCCTTGGAGTCTGAGAGAAGCAAGTTAGGCACAAACAAGCCAGAAACGTTTATAAATGAGGACTGTCATCTATCGGACAAGAGTCCAAGAAACAGGAGGAATCTGGGACACTTTGTGGAGGTACGGAGTCAGAACTGGTGACCATGCTAGAGAAGTGTGTGCCCACGGTTGGGTAGAGTGGGAAGGAGGGGACCAAGATCAGAAGGAGTAAGAGCCTGAACCGAGAGAGAGAAAAGTCATTGTGAATCTGCCCAGATCAGAAGGCTGTACTCACATTCCAGGTGGAATTCACTGGCACGGTCCTGTACTTCCCGAATGAATCCGATAAGGTAGACTCGGAATAGTTCCTCTAGTTCTATCACCTCTTCCTCACTGAAGTTGCCCTTGGACCAGGGCTTCAGGAAGATGGCAGTGCCCGACTCACTGTCCCAGCCATGAATCTGCAAATCATCCAACCAGCCTGAGCCTTGATTTTGCGCCCAGGTGCTGTTGGCAAACTGTGAGATCTGGATGACATGGTAAGAGTTCGGCCCCCGGAAGGCTGTGGGTAGTGGAATGATCAGAATTAGGAGAAAGAAGACACAGGATGGAGTGGAAAATAACCCAGAGTCTGAAGAACATAGAGCCTGAGACATTTGCCTACCCCAAGTCATCTCTGTCCCCAACCTTCCGAATGGGGGAAGAGGGCTGGAGACGGGAGGGCCCAGACCCTTAGTGGCAGGTGCAGCGTGCTTTGATCCAGACCCCCTGCACGCGTGCTGGGGGCTGCCGGAGTAACACTCACCGTCCTCATTGTCACCACCTGGGAAGATAACTGCTAGCAGTAGAAGTGACAGAAGCTGCATTTCACCGGGAAGCAGAACTTCTGACTCTCAAAGCTGGTGTTTGACCTCTAATTTCAGCAAAACTTTTTCTCAGCACTCTATAGTGACTTCCTCTCTCTTCCAACGGACAAATCTCTTCCTCACCCACGTTGCGCATCAAAGGCAAACTGCGCCTCCCACATTCTGGGCTCCCACTCTGCCTCTCATTTCCACACCAGCCTTTGCCTCTGAGATTTTTTTTAAATCTCTTTGACTTCCAGCTGTTTCCTTGACGTCAGCTTCCTTTATTCTTACTCTTTGGAAAGCCCCCAGGTGATGCTGAAAGTTAACTTGACCTCCCTGATCCTTTATTTTCACATCTGTTTAATAAGAGGGTAATACTAAACAATTGCTAAGCGTGTAGTCTGTAGAAGGATTCCTTTGTTTTATCCACCCAACTGGACCTTCCTCCCCACTGCCAATATATTTAGCATCCACTGAGCAAAATATCTGACTCTAACCAACATGTTAGCTTTAAGGATAACTCTTGGATTTTCCTCCACTCAGGAAAAAAATAAACGGATATGTAGCATCTGGCAGAAATGTGGTAGTAAAACATTTCCAGTGAAAGAGGTTTTCACTAAATGATCCTAATTAAATAGATAAGAAAATGCAAAATAATAATGTAGGCTGTCTTAATTCCCGGATATAAATCACTCACAATATGAAGACTAGACTTCATCCAAGATTATCACTACCTAATTGTAAAATCCAGAATAACTCTTCAAATTCTAAAGCACGTAAATTTGAACAATATCCCTAGAATCCAATACATGATATAATCTAATCCACTTTCTGTAACAAATAACAACAGAGATATAACATTAACTGCCTTTATATCATTACATTCCATCTTTTTTTCTTTTTTGTAAGCCTTGAGTTTAAGGTAGGACACCTGAGATTCAGCTGATACGATGCACCGTTGATTCACTGGCAAGAACACGTTTTAAGAACTTGGCGGTGTGCAAGCAGAATGAGTAGATTAATTCTCCCACACAGCAAATGTACCACTGATGGTGACGTGGGCAGTTAGCCTCAGAAAGAATACCAAATGGATCCAGGTGAGTGCTCACAATACCCTGGTGTACATTCAGAGAGAGGCATGCTCTGAGAATCACAAAGAAAGGGAGGCTCTGAAAACTCCAGCCCCATTTCAGGGAGTCAGACAATGGAAAAGTGCACTTGAGCTCCTCGCACCATTGTTGCTATCACTGTCATTGTCCCCTGCTTGGCTGAAACTTGACTAAAGGCACTAAAACATTCACCAGAACATAAAGATGATGGCCAGAAAGAGGGGCACTCAAAACAATTTTTACGTAAGCCACTCCACGCTAATACTGTAAAGGCTCCTCCCTCAATGGAGGGGAACTTCGAGAACAAAAGCCTGAGTGGAAACAAATATCTTAAAGTCAAGATTACGCCCATCAAGAGGCTCAGAAGATAAGGTCCTGCCTTTATTGGTGAAAAGTGGATGGAGAGAGTAGGAATTAAAGGGTGAAAATTTACCTCTGATTTCCCCAAGTTCCTAACAACAGTAAATACAACAAGGATCCTAAAATCTATCCCAAAAGCAAAGAAGATGCACATCTTGGATCCAAAGGTAAGATTTCTGCAGACCTGAGGACAACAGAGGACCTTCCACTGAAGTATATAAGGCAGCTGCCCAAGGGAGCTGGTATCTAGTGACTGCCTGAGGACTGCTCCTGTGTGCAGTCCTAGAGGGTCTGAGTCCTGGCCACAGTGCCTAAAGATTATTGAAATTAAATACAAATGGAGACCGGATGTGAGAATTCCCTGAGCACTCAAAAACATTTATAAGCCATGTAAGAATAACTAAATCTAGCATATTTCATGAATGTAAGTGAAACTCAAACTAGGTTATTTTTTGTAAATGGCTCTGACAATTAGGAAAGAAACTAAAGCCATCTTCCCAAAAATGGTAAGAGATAATCACTTTTAACCAATCCCCTGCC